AACCGTTATGATTATAACTTAATACTATTAATATTTGACAATAGCCATTATGCAATTTGATTTGATTAAAAGTACAATTTAAGCTAAAGCTGTCCAAGAAAAGAATGAATGACTGCTTATCATAAAGAATAATTTTTGTTAGTGGTAGAGGGCATGGGGGACCGTTCAGTCTGATGCCTTTCATGATTATGTCATGAAGTATTCATCATAATTATTTATCTTGAATTTGTATTATGGCTTACCCTGCATTTTATATGATGCTCCCTGAAAGGAGTTTTGGGTCTCTGGGGACAAGGGTCACCATTGCTAAAAATAAGTTTTTACACTTTTGTTAATTAACCTATTCCCTCATATAAGCGTGTTTTGACGACTTTTCGTCCCCCCTTTTTAAGGCCTCAAACAGTGCAAAAATGCCCTATTTAGGCCCAAACACTGTTTTTTGTTTGAGAAATGTTGTAAAAAAAGTGAGATTTTTTTCGGCGCGGCCCACAGTCAATAATTGACACATCGGTGTTACCAGAAGGGGGATGTGCCAAGAAAATTTTGGACATGTGACAGGCTAAAAATGACCTCAGGTCGATCTTAAGGTGACGTGTAACCAACGCTGAAAAGCCTTTTACTCTATCTCATTGCATTGACAAGTTGCAGTACTTTGAAATCAGTGTTGATGGAAAAAAACAATGCCGAAAGTGATTTTTCGCAATTTTGAGATGTCCCCCCCCATTGTCATGGTAACAGGAAATTTAAGATTGAGCATGTTGCTACAGAGGTTATGGTTCAGTCAACATATGTGTCAAGTTTCATCAGTATTGAAGCATTTTTCATAGTTTTATAGCAGTTGGAACTTGTAACAGGAGGCTTTTCAATGAAAACGGTCATTTTTCACAATATGCTCATGGGGTAAAAGGTTAAAGCCTTCATTTTGTATACTGGTGTCAAGGTCACATTTGGCAGTTCAAAATCTGATTTAAACTACAAATCAAGTGTTAGGAATCAGCATTCAACTGGGCATTAGGAATTTGTGTGTGTGAAGTAGACGCCTTCCTGCACATTTTATAAATAATGTTTAAGAAAAATATGCTGAATATTATTTCATTACCAGGCAGAGCCTACACATTGATTTCAAGTAATAGAAAGAGCACCGAAACACGAGGCTATCTGATTTGTACGAGGGGGCGTAGCCCCCGAGTATTAATCAGATTGCCGAGTGTTTTGGTGTTCTTTCTCTTTTGTATCATAGTCAAACATAAAAGCACGTTCCCTGCTGTCATAATATGAAACCCCGGCAAAAATGAACCAATGAACGAACATCTGAATATGACATTTCTGTCGCTTTCCCTTTCTCTGCCGTAACAATATGTAAACCCCAGCAAAAATGAGCCAATCGATCGGCATGCTCTGGAGTGCGGGTAACTAATACCCGCACTCCAGTTAACGCACTGTGCATGTATATGTATACGATTTAACCCTGACACATTTTCAACAGAAAGGTCTCCAAACTATGATACAAGCTTTGTTACAACATCAGTGACTTTTTTTTACCATAAATCTCTTTGACCTATGACCTTGCATACAAATAAATGTCAATTCTTTCATTATAAAAAAAGAATAACTAATTTTGTTCATGCTTACTGAAAGCTTCAACCTGCTGAATTTATGTAATGGGTTTGCTCAACTTTAAATTTGGAACAGTCCATTCAATGTTCAAGGGATTTTAATATGCAATTTTTATATGAAAGTTGAGCAGTATAAAGCCTAGTCAGATCTCACAGATTTTCATACTGTTGGCAAAGACTTATGACTTTTAATGCCGTCATAATTGATAAAAATTAAACTTCAATAATATTTTTGTTAATTTAACTTTTGATTTAGTGATGCTCTATGCAACGATTCTCTATGCAACAAGTTGCAGACGGCGCGAGAAAATGTTTTTTAAACAGCAATAATTTTGCAATCAATTTGGTAAAACATTATTAAGTTACATGTTATTTCTGGTATGACTTGAACCAGTAATTTTATAAATTCATTAATTGTTCTTTCCCATTCTTCTGTTTATTTTTAATTGCCCAAAAGAATTTTGACATGAACTCTGCATTATATTATGGTGAATTGATAAGTCAATAATCTGCTTATACATAATAAATTTTCAGAATGCTGTGCATTTTCATTTTATTTTTGTTTTGCTTTTGAAGCGATTGTGTTATAATAGGGTGAATCGATTTTGCTATAACAATACATGTAAATGCTGTATTACATATGTCATTTTATGCCAGGCAATTTTAGTTCATGCATTTGAAATTCCTCGGTGTCTAAAAAAATAAACCCTGCATTTTGTGTACAAAAATTGATTGCGTGTGTTGGCTCCGTTTGCTTTTTATCAAAATGAATAATAAAGTTAAATGTATTCTATAAAAAGTTCAGTTGGTTGATTTAGTTTAAGAACTACAAAATTCTAAGCTTTGATATAATATTAATTAATATTTACAGAATGACCTAATTTTGTTGTGACGTGTTTAATAGTATTTGCATAGGAGCTGTTCAATAATAAATGAAAGCAGGAATAGAATTATTTCAAAGACTTGAAAAAAAGTACTGAATAAATGCTTGCATTTTAGTTCCCCTGCAGGTGTTTACATGGGAAGCCAGGGACTGTAGGTTCACTGGCAGTATATTCTAACTCTGTGTACTTCACCCTGGTAACTTGATTAGGTCTAATAAGGGCCGGCTAAAAGTTAAGCAGAATTAGACCGAAAGGCTTCTTTCTAATGCACAACTCAGAGCTCCTACAAAAGGAAGGGATTTGTGCAAAATTTCAGATCATTTACTCACCGTGTTTTTCTAGAATAATTATTCTAATTGTGAAAAATAACCCAAAATTAAAATCAAGTTAAGAATAGTACTAAAATATGATTTTCAATTTATTTCTGAGTATATTTCTTTAAATTATCTTTTGCATATCTTTCTGTTTTGTGTGACCCAGCTGATCTATGTAAAAAAATAAAATTTTAAATTTTGTAGGTTTTTTGGACCTCAGTTGAGTTCCTTTAATATTTAAATATCAGAGAATATGAAATTTAACTGTCAATACTGTCAAAGTGTTTACATTTATGTTGTTGTCAAATTTACGATAAACATATCAGTGCATGATTCTTAATAGCGATACATGTATTTTGATACTGTGGTTTTTATTACATAAATTCTTTCAAAAGAAAAGTTTTACTGATCTTTATCAAAGAATTCCTGCATTTTTATTAGTATGATAATTATGAAAGCCTGCTTTCTTTCAAAATTAAATTTTCTTATCGTACCAAGTTTTCTTGAGAAAAAAAAAAGATTGAGAAAAAAGAAGATGTGAGCACTTATTTAAAAAAAAAAAAAAAAACAATTTTAAGGAACTGTCACATTAATATCAGGGTGGGACTCAACCTGATCTGAATTTATTCAAAAGTAGACATGAATGATGTCAAGGAAAATATTTTTGTCACTATATTCCGCCTGCTTTATTCATTGACGTAATTGGCCCAATACCCACTAGGTCAAGTACAATAATGTTCGTAAAACACGATCATATTTTAATGGCATAATCCGGAAATTGTATTTTGAGTGAATTTAATAATCTGTTTGTTTACTTTTCATTACTGATAAGGTGTTTAAATTCTATCTTCAATTATCCTTGAAGGTTATGAAGTACATAATGTTTGTTGAGTTTGAAAAATTAGCTGTTTAAAGCGAGAATTTATGTAAGTGACATTTATTCAATGCTTGAACAGTAAAATGACATGTCTTTTTTTCCAGTTTTACTGTGGCGGTGGTGAAAATTAGCAAATTTGAAGTGGAACACTGCTTGGTTCTCAGAGAAATTATGAATATTATCTTAATTAAGAGACAATGAAATTGATCAGTGAATTTATTTAAATACTTTAAGATAAAAATTAGAACTTTACAAGGCAATTAAGAGAACTGTTTGAATGCATAATTTGCAATAATAATTTCACTTTAATTGCTATTCATATAGAGCCAGGTCAAACAAATTTTGTCCCGTCTGACCCAGAAGACAGCTGTTAAAAGTTACCCCATACTTCACTGCAGTGTTGTTGTAATGTTCTGGTCCTTTGGAAGCATTGATTCCAGCATGTTAATATAATGCTGACACCAGTGCTAGGGGTTGTGTAATATGTTGTATTTTTACATTATCTCTCATCAACAGACTCAATCAGCAATTTTCATAATGTTTTTCTCATTGCTTCCAAGGGATGTCCGCTGTTCAAGATTTATTAAAGGAACTACACTAAGCTTCAAAAGTCTAATAACATAGAATTTAAATTCCCTACATAAATCAGGTGGGTAACTTAAAACAGAAAGATACACAAAAGACAATAAAGAAATAAAGTACTCAGATTAATTTTAAAATCTGATTTGTGTGCTATTCATGAGTGAAAAGCATCACAACGCTAATTGGAACTTTTTGCACAATTAGAAAAGTTATTCGTGAAAAATGGAGTGAGTGGTCTGAATTTTTTGTACACTATAACTATTTTTATGCATCAGTATTATATTAACAGTTTCAGCAATTTTGGAGAACTTGTAAGTGTTGCTGTTGTTCCCACACAACTGTGAGTTTACATTCCACCAATGATACAGGTTAAAACTTCTCTCACCTTTTTAGGAAGGCCTAGTCTTTCAGGTTTGCCCATTTGAAAAATGTTCGAGTCTCTAAGTTACGGTAAATTTTGGGGAAAATAAGTTGCAATATGACAACCAATTATTAATTGTTATAGTAAAATGTAACTTTTGGAACCAATGACTTGGGGGAGGGGAAAAAAGGGATTATTTGTCATTGGGAACATGTTTCTGTACATCACCCATCAAAAGAATTACACTGTAATGTTGTAAATCTTGTCTCAAATACTCCTCTTCTTTTCTAGTAAAAAATATAGACATATTTAGTAAAAGGTACATACTTAAAACTAAAATTAATATGTTTCAACATTTAATTTCAGGGCTCAACAGTGTGGGAATCAAAGACAGATGAAGAACTTGTGTTAGAGTGGAACGAACATGAAAAGAATAGTTTTAACAAAGTGTCAACACATGAAGCGTGTTGGGACCTTTCTAAACGTGGGGGTGTTGGGGAAACCCCACTCCATCTGTTGTATCTAATGGACAGTGCAGAACATGTAGAAACTGCCAAAATATTGCTCAATATGTACCCCAAGCTGGCCTTGGATTTTTATGAAGCAGATGAATATTATGGTATGTATTGTTGTATTTTTATGCCGGATCATGAGATGCTTGCTTCCCTCTCAATGCTGTAGGTTCAAATCCTAACAGAGACTTGAATCTTAACAGGGACTTTGGATTCTTTTATGTGAGGAAGTACGGAATGCTGGTCAGGTACTACTCAGGTGCCCTTTTATGCCTGAAATAATGCACAGAGGGGGACCTGAGGTCTTCCTCCAACAGTTAAGCTGGGAAATTGCCATATAACCTTTACTGTGTTGGTGCAACATTAAACCAAGCACTCACTTCCACCAACCCTCTCCCCATCCCCCAAAAAGAGATTCTTGCTCTTTAAACATTTTTGTTACAATGAATTTATGAGCTGGATTGTGAGGAAAGCTTTAGGCTTTTTTTAATCACTTCCAAACTTTACTTTTGGAACAAACAGATACTTTATCATATAAGGAAATATGGTCATGACTCCAGTGGAGCTCAAACTTATGATACCTTGGTTCAGAGGCAGAACCCTGAAAGATTACCTTTGTCCTAGTTATAGCCTTGACACACCTTGAGTTGATGTTCTTAATATACCTCTGTCTGAGTACCTCTGTCAGAGTAATGGCCTTAAAATACCTCTGTCTGAGTTACAGTCTAAATTTACCTCTGCCTGAGAAATAGCATATACATACCTCTGTCTGAGTTATGGTCTTAATATTCTTCTATCTGATTTATGGTCTTAATATTCCTCTGTCCAATTTACATGATATGTTTATGTCTGGTTTATGGCCATAACATACCTCTGTCCAAGTTACAGTGATTTATGGTCTTAAATATACCTCTGTCTGAGTGATGGTCTTAATTATACTTTTTGTCTGAGTTACAGCCTTAAAATACCTCTCTGAGTTATGGCACTAATTAACCCTCTGTCAGAGTTATAACCTTAATTTTACTCTGAGCAAGCAATGAGTATGATAATGATACATGATTGTTTGAGTTTGTACCTAAATATACCTCTATCCAATTTACGGTCTAAGTAGCTTTAATATACAGAATTAATTTTAGTTCAGTTGTGTAGAAACTTACAGACATGCTAACAAATCTGTCCCTAGAAATAATCAGTGCTAAGCAATGAGTGTAAAGTTTCTTACTCTAGGAAACAAAGGCTTGACCCAGCTGACAGGGTTTGAACACACATACAAAAGTAGCTATCAATACATGCAAATGCCTAAATTAACCTCTATCCAAGTTAGGTCTTAATAAACCTTTATCCAAGTAAGGTCTTAATAAACCTTTTTCCAAGTTAGGTCTTAATAAAAATCTATCCAAGTTAGGTCTAAATAAACTTCTCATCCAAGTTAGGTCTAAATAAATCTCTAATCCAAGTTTAAGGTCTTAATGAACCTCCTTCCAAGTTAGGTCTAAATAAACCTCTATCCAAGTCTTAATAAACTTCTATCTATGTTAAGTCTTAATAAACCTCTATCCAAGTAAGGCTATGCAAGTTAGGTCTTAATTAACTTCTATCCAAGTTAGGTCTTAATAAACCTCTTTCCAAGTAAGGTCTTAAATAAACCTTAATCCAAGTTATGTCTTAATAAACTTCTTTCTGAGTTAGGTTCCATAAACCTCTATCCAAGTAAGGTCTTTAATAAACCTCAATCCAAGTTAAGTCTTAATAAATTTCTATCCATGTTTAGTCTTAATAAACCTCTATCCAAGTAAGGTCTTAAAAATCCTCTATGCAAGTTAGGTCTTAATTAACTTCTATCCAAGTTAGGTCTTTATAAACCTCTTTCCAAGTAAGGTCTTAAATAAACCTTAATCCAAGTTAAGTCTTAAAAATCCTCTAAGCAAGTTAGGTCTTAATAAACTTCTTTCTAAGTTAAGTCTTCATAAACCTGTATCCAAGTAAGGTCTTAAATAAACCTCAGTCCAAGTTAGGTCTTGATAAACTTCTATCCATGTTAGGTCTTAATAAACCTCTATCCAAGTTTGGTCTTAATAAACCCTTTTTTATACCTTAGTCTAAGTAATGGCCCTTAAATTACAGTTAAAGATTGTTAAATTTATAAATATTTGTAAAATTTATTACAGGTGAAAGTTGTCTGCATTTAGCTACAGTATATGGTGATTTTGAATCTGTCAAACTTTTGGTTTCTAATGGTGCATATGTCAACCAGCGAGCGACTGGGCGATTTTTCCTTCCAGAGGACCAGAAAAATGCCAGGACTAAAACAACCAATTATGAAGGTATGGAATTAAGGAGGTTTACAAAAATTAGAATGGTTTATGAGGAATCAGAATCTATCAGGAATTTTGCTCCTTTTTACATGTTATTTTGGTATACAAATGAATTGCTTTTACACTGGTGGTTAAACCGGCTGTTTAAACTAAAAAACTTAATTCAGTCGATTTTTTTTCGAAGTACATGCCTTTGTTAATTACAAAGTATTCTACCTTTATAATTGATCCTAAAAACAAAAATAAATAAATTGTTAAATGATAAGACTGTGTAAATATAACTTATGTGTGTAACATTTAAACAATGGCCTTTAGTATAAAAAGTTATTCAAACACTCAATGCTATACTTTAAATAGAGGTACAACTTTCCAAACATGCTCTGCAGTTATTATTAGAAAAGATAATGCTTTGAAATTTCAGTGCAAAAGAGATTCCGCTTTGCACAGAAGTTAAGAGAATATTCAACATTACTTAAATTCTTTATAAGAAACTTTATAACTCCAACAGTTTCGATTTCTATATAACCCTCACAGTTATGGGTTCGAGTCAAGTTAGGCCAGACTTTGAATTCATTCATGATAGTGGATGGTTTTACTCAGGTTAGGTCACTGAGACCGTCATCAAGTAAATTTCAGTAAAACTGAAAATTTGCCGTATGACCTTTACAGTGTTGGTGTGGTAATTAAATCCCACAAAAAAAAAAAAAAATTCTGTAATTTAAAACGTTCACCTGCTTCATAACTTAAATAGCCGAGACTTTTCCATCTTTCAATTTTAACCTTTAACCTGCTGGAACTGAAAGTGATCACCTTTTAATTGCCATCAGTATTGAGCTAGGCCAGCGTTCATTATAATCCATACAGTCTGACCAGGCTCTAAACTAACCAACTTTAAAATTTTCATCTTATATCCCTGAAATTGATAATGGACAGTTTCTTGGATTCGGGCCACCCGGGTTCAATTCCTGGATGGTGCAGATCACTTTCGTGTGATTGATCATGAAATCCTTTCCATGGTCATTCGCTCTGTATCTCTGCTTTGGCATATGCAGAACTTATAGTTCCTTACAAAATTGAAGGCATGTAGTACTGGTAAACTTGTTGACAGCGTGCCCAGGAATGATGCTGTGGCTGAACTATGCTCTGGTAAGTTCAATGTGGCTTACTGTCGTGATCCAGAGTGAAAACTACCTATACCACCACCACCGATGGACAATTCCATTTAAGAAATAAAGAAACAGGTAAATGGTTTAATCATAAAATTACTTGTTTCAGGTTATGCATATTATGGGGAATACCCATTAGCATTTGCTGCATGTTTTGGTTACATGGACATTTACGACTACCTCATAGATAATGGAGCCGACCCGAACCTCCAGGACTCCTTCGGAAATACTACCTTGCATATGGTGGTTATAGCTGACCAACCTGTAAGTGAACGGTTTCATAAATTATATAAAAAAATGAGTCAAAAATGGAAATAACTTCATAAACATGAGTCAAAAATGGAAAAATAGTTATTATTCCATTAGCAATAGGTTAAAAATGATTATGGTGATGAAACTAGAAACTTCAGTTGTTTTTAACATATAGCATAATATTACATAAATGTTTATTATATACTTATGAATGAAATATTGTTAAAATAAAATGCGTATTTTCACTGTACATAATATTGTTTTTAACTTCAGTGAAATATATATTCCGTATTTTCACTGGTGATTTGTCGGACTACTTTTTTCTTACTTCAGCCAATACACAAAATTTAAGAGGAAATCTTTCAAATTGTAATGTTAAAAAAAGGTGTACTGGGATCCTACATATTACCAGACAAATTATGATGTTTTTTACCTGTAACTTTGATTTAAAATAATAAAAAAGAATGGAATTTTAACCAAATAATTTTGGGTTCTTAATAAAAGTATACATTACTTTATCAAACATGAAATAAAACATTTGACCTTAGAAATGTGTCTTTAAAGTAGGGAATTATAAAAGAAAAAAATCGTGTAGGCAACTCAATTTACCAGACATTATGTTTCAAAATTTTTTGAAGTTGTGAATTGAAATTAATCTTTAAATAATCAGCAAGGAAACAATGATTATTGAATGGCAAGGTTAAGATATTGGAAAAACCCAGTATGCATACATGCCATAATTTGTAGGCTCATTTCGGGGACACTTTTCATTTGAAGGTGGGCATTGATCAGCAACCGTATTGTTTCTAAAATTTACATAGTGGCATACAACCTATTTTACCGGTATTTAAAACTTGCAAATTTAATGACAACATAAACAAGACAATAATGATGTCAATAATTAAGCCCCCACTTCAAAGAAGAGAGGGTATATTGCTTTGCACTTGTCGGTCCGTTGGTCCGTCGGTCCGTAGACCAAATGGTTTCCGAGTGATAACTAAAGAACCCTTAGGCCTAGGAACTTCAAACTTGGTATGGTGATTGGTCATGATCAGTAGATGACCCCTATTGATTTTGGGGTAAAGGGGTCAAAGGTCAAGGTCACATTGACCTTGTAAGCAAAAACGGTTTCCGATCAATAACTAAAGAACCCTTAGGCCTAGGAACTTCAAACTTGGTATGGTGATTGGTCATGATCAGTAGATGACCCCTATTAATTTTGGGGTCAATGGGTCAAAGGTCAAGGTCACATTGACCTTGTTAGCAAAAACGGTTTCCGATCAATAACTAAAGAACCCTTAGGCCTAGGAACTTCAAACTTGGTATGGTGATTGGTCATGATCAGTAGATGACCCCTATTGATTATGGGGTCAAGGGGTCAAAGGTCAAGGTCACATTGACCTTGTTAGCAAAAAAGGTTTCAGATCAATAACTAAAGAACCCTTAGGCTCAGGAACTTCAAACTTGGTATGGTGATTGGTCATGATCAGTAGATGACCCCTATTGATTTTGGGTCAAGGGGTCAAAGGTCAAGGTCACATTGACCTTGTAAGCAAAAACGGTGTCCGATCAATAACTAAAGAACCCTTAGGCCTAGGAACTTCAAACTTGGAATGGTGATTGGTCATGATCAGTAGATGACCCCTATTGAATTTGGGGTCAAAGGTCAAGGTCACATTGACCTTGTAGGTAAAAACGATTTCCAATCAATTACTTAAGAACCCTTAGGCCTAGGAACTTCAAACTTGGTATGGTGATTGGTCATGACCAGCAGATGACCCCTATTGATTTTGGGGTCAAGGGGTCAAAGGTCAAGGTCACATTGACCCTGTAGGTAAAAACGGTTTCCGATCAATTAACTAAAAACGCTAAGGTCTAGGAACTTCAAACTTGGTATGATGATTGGTCATGACCAGCAGATGACCCCTATTGAGTTTTGGGTCAAGGGTTCAAAGGTCAAGGTCACATTGACCTTGTAAGTAAAAACAGTTTCTGATCAATAACCAAAGAACGTTTAGGCCTAGGAACTTCAAACTTGGTATGGTGATTGGTCATGACCAGCAGATGACCCCTATTGATTTTGGGGTCAAGGGGTCAAAGGTCAAGGTCACATTGACCTTGTAGGTAAAAACGGTTTGCGATCAATAACTAGAGAACCCTTAGGCCTAGGAACTTCAAACTTGGTATGATGATTGGTCATGACCAGCAGATGACTCCTATTGATTTTGGGATCAAGGGGTCAAAGGTCAAGGTCACATTGACCTTGTAGGTAAAAACAGTTTCCAATCAATAACTAAAGAACGCTTAGGCCTAGAAACTTCACACTTGGTATGATGATTGGTCATTGCCAGCAGATGACCTATTGATTTTGGGGTCAAGGGGTCAACAACTTGGCTGTCATTAATGAGGCCTACATGATTCATAAAATTTATGCATATATTATTTGGTAAGATTTGTAATAACTTAAATTGCTGCACACAACCTATAGGGTCACAATAATTATTACCTTGTGACTAGTCATGACCAGTAGATACTAGATAACCTTTATTGTTTGTTCACTGGGTCAGAAGTCAAGCATAATAACCTGATCACATGACTAATTGGCTTCCGACAGGGGGCATACATGTTTTACAAACATTTCTTGTTATTAACAGTTTTTCTATCTTTTTTAAAAGTATTAAGTCATCGTAAATTCAATCAGTCACAGAAAAGAATAAAGCTATGTTAAGTAAGGACAGTTTGCCATGTCGTTTGGGAAACAGACAAAAGTCCTCCAGGACAAAAGCCCTACCGTCAAAAAATGACAAGGCGGACAAAAGCCCTCCCGTGAAAATGACAGGGCGGACAAAATCACTTAAAACTACAAATTCTAAATGAACAAAAATAAATTATTCAAAATTTAATACATGTAAATTAATAGTGAAACATAAACACAAACATTCGTAGCAATGACATAAATGCAAGTTTGTCAGTATTCATCAGTATGCATAATTATGTTTTTAATAAGCACTCATGACAATTCACTATAATAAAAGCACAATAACACATTTATTTTTTTCAACTACAATTTGAAGTGAATTGATTATCGGAAGAAAACAAAAGAAGCAACTATCGTGAACCTGAAGTACATATTAATGTATGCAATATGACGGAACATTAATGATACAAATGTCATTTACGTTGATATTACACACATCAATACCTAGGCTGTTATTTGACTAACATCTGTCAGACTGGCGCGAGTCAACTTTCTTAATGTAATTAAATCTTAATTTAGTTATCTGACTGTTAAAACCAATTAAGTCCTGAAACCGATTAAAGCCACTTTTATGACGTGTTAATAATACATGATGACCAGCAATTAAAATTACCATGAAATGTGTGAATCACGAGTGACAACATCTCACCTTGATGTCTCCGACCTTTGATCAGTCGGCTGTTTTCACACTTCGACTAATTGAGATGAAAAAATGTTGGACTTTAATTGACGGGACCAAATTTTTTTTCCGACTAAACAGGTGTCTCGGTAAGTCAAAATTTGAACAGAGTTAAAATACAAAGATAAAGAAGGAAATTTGACAGGACTATAGAAATTCTTCGACTAACGCGGAATTTTGAGTAAAGCGCTTTCGACTTATTGAGAGTCAACTGTATGTTATGATTGTCTCCTAAGGTAACATTGAGAAGAATTAAAAGTAAAACCTATCTAAAATAACCCATTAAGGGCCTCCATATTCGGGCCTGCACACTCACTCACTGAACAGATTATTCCCCCACATGACCAGGTCATGAAATAACTAGTAAACAAAAGGGCATGTTAGTAAATATAGAACTGAAACCAACAATATTTACCTGAGAGTGTTTTTTTTTTTTTTTTATTATTTACTTTAAAATAGAAAGTGTGTGTACGATTCAGACTGTATGATTTTTTAATCGAAGCAAAAAATAAACTTGCTGCACTATTCGGCAGGAATAGCTTTTGTCTGGTAAACTGATTGTCCAGTTAATATGAAGGTAACCCAGTACGTAGTAAACAGAAAATTTAAGTTTTTTCTTCAATAAATACAGGATTTATTTTCATCTTGTGGTAAGAAAATTATCATATTTCACTATGACGTGGCTACCGCCACTCATGAAATATTTATTTTCATACCTCTCAATGAAAATAAATCCTGGATTATGGAAAAAACTTAAATATCCTCTATATATTATATAATAAATATTTTTTTTATTAATGATATAATCACAGTGTATCACATAAATATTGTGTTCATGGATAAATATTTTATGAATATCAATCAAATATTTCATAGCAATGTCATACAAATATACAAATATTTCTTACTATAGTATCTTACAAGTATTTTCACTACATAATGTGGACATTCTTTAATCTTTACTATAATTTTACTAGAATTGTCATTTCCAATTCATTAAACATGTAGCAATAGTATTTTTCTATTTTTTCTTCTTTTCTTGTTTTGTTATTATGAAGATTTTGAAAAGTCAGTAACTAGTTTGACAAAAGGTGAAGTCTATAATTTTGCCCCATTATATCAGATAAAGGGAAAAAAAAATAAAATTATTATTATACAATCTGACAAGCCTATATTATAATTAGAAGTCAGTATGATAAAGGGAGGTAATATAATTGACAAGAATCTTTGTTTTTAAATCTCATTTCTATTAGTCTTGTATACAAACCTACCACAAAAACTTATGATCATAAATAATTAAAAGTTTTATCAAATCATTTCAAATTTTCATGCTTTTTAAAAAAAAAATGTGGCAACCGGTAATTTTATCACATTCTGCTGTTAGGAGCAGCCATTATGTTTGGTGCAGCCATTATGATTGTTAAAGTTTTATGCAGTTCTTTGCTCTGGTATATCTAGTATTTATTGCCAGATTTTTTACGATACTTGAAACTTTCTGTCAATAAAAGCATTCTTTTGTTGTTGACTTGTTGCACAATTGCAGAAAATTCTAAAATGCATATAAATCAGCCATTA